AGGATGTGTAACTTTCCCTTTCTAAAGACAAAGGAGGGGTGTGCTGTGACGTCTGGAGCCCTCTTGATCACATGGGAGGAATGGAGATTGGCAGCTGAAGCTCTCCAACAGGAAGGGAAGATTCTCAGCACCGCACCTGTGATGTGGTGTGTATGGGGCTCCTCTAATCTTCTGTCATGTCCTTGAGCCTGCTCTTGTAACATCTCTATCCTGTGTGTGCAATAAAGTGAAGGTGTTGCTGGAAGTCTCTTGTGTACAGCTATTAACTGAACAGTTTGCTGCTGTTACTTGATAATCTCTATCGACTTATTGATCTGAAGATCAGTGGGAGGGCAGTAATTGGTAATGGTACCTTCAGGGGTAGTTCTCCCTTGGCCAACAGCATTACCTGGAGAACAAATGCTAGATCTTAACATGTCAAATGTTGGGATGCACTGTTCTGAGACAAACCACACTTTGCACTAATGAAGGAGCTTCAGTTCTGCAATTGTCACACCTGTAGTGCACAGATTGAATAGCTTGAGAGGTGCAGCTGGAGAAGAACACTAGTATTGACAGGACCAAGGGAGCACAGGCTTGTCAGTACTACTACAGCACAGCAACCAAGGTGCCAAGCTGGGAGATGACAAGGTCTCCTGGCTGGAATGGGCCTGTTCCACCTCAGGTGTGGCAGCTGCTGCAGGCTAGCTTCCTTCAAAGGGGCAGAGTCACTTAACTGGCATGAATACAGGAAGTGCCCTGCTATAAGCCTGCCCAAGAACCTCCAACCCCTTGAAGATGCCTTTTCAGTAACAGGCTGTACTAGAGCAGGATCTCCAGACCTCATCTGGAGAACTGCTAATAGAGCTCAGTTATACAAATCCTCCACTAACTAGGAGCACTGGAGGAATCATCTCCTGATGGGGAGATTGTTGCAGGGTCTCCTGGGTTTTGTTGCAATTCCTTCAAAATGTCACCTGGGTAGTTAATCCAGGTCCTTAATGGTCATCTAATAAGTCTAGAGCACATACAGTTTTGCTAAAGGGCAGGGATGGAGTACATTTTAGTTATTCATATTTAATTGCTGTGTGGGACATGGCACAGTTGCTGGTCTTCCTTTAGTTATTTAGTATAACTACACATCCGGGATTGTGGTGGGAAGCTGGGGGCAGGCATGTGATTTAACATGAATACAGCGTATCTCACACAGCTTGCATTATTGTCATATCTGCAGGCCTTTCTTGGAAATACTTGGACTGTGACACCTGAGCTGTACCTTAACATTACAGGACCTAATATATTTATGGCAGGAGGCTTGTATCCCACTGTAGGCATTTAATTACTGCACAAAATGAAAACAAGGCTGTCCTTTCCTGTACATAATGCTTGATGTATTGGCAGGGATTCAGTTTCTCATGGAAATGCAACAAAACATAGTGAGAAGCACCAACAGAGAAATTAAACAAATTAATGGGAAACGTAAAGAAGTCCAGGTTGTTAGTTTAGACTGGAATTCAGCTGGGACTCCAGGTTTGGCACCCCTCTACTTTAATCTTTTTAGACCTTGCTTATACATATCCAAATGACTGAACCTCTTACAGCGAGAGGCAAGGTAGAAGAGCACCTACAGCTCTCTCCCACCCAACTACTTACCATAACAGTCTGGATATCCAGGTTCAGTACCAGTTCTGAGTAGGCTCAAATGTGCATAATATGAGATCATGCTACAAGGTAGTAATACTGTTGCTTGTTTTTTTCCAGATTTGCTTCCTGACTGAATAGGTAAGGTGTTTTTATTGGACCAAGCTCAGAAACCAGAGACAAGTGCTATTCTCAGCTGGGGAGCTGGAGTACCTGTATTTTCTATTGATCAGTTGTTCATAAACTGAGGAGCTGTTCATAGTGGTGAATAACAGGTGTCTTTTCAATTTTTTAATTCCTATTGGCCAGATGTAAGGAGCTGAGCAGCCAATCATATTTTCTATGTAGCCCGTGAAAATGCTAGATGACAATCTTCATACACTCTATGAAAGAGGATATGTATGAATTTCCTAAAAGAACAGAACTGGTAGGAATATAGAAAGACGCATTTTGTTTAAATTAAATAGAAGACAACCTTCTGACTTCTGAATAAGTTTTACATCTTTATACTCTTAGCATTATAATGACCACAAATGAGTTGGAACAGAGTTCTTATAATTATCATGTTTGACAGCAGAATCTATTTTTAACAAATATTGTGTGTAGGCATGTAGATGTTTATATGTTTCTTGTATGTATCTTGTATAATGTTTATTCTGACCGCTGTGGACGTTGGTTTTAGTGCAACTCATTGATTTCAGTTTAACTGCTAAAAGAGCCATGAGCTCGTTAAGCAGTGTGATATGTTGACCCAGAGATGCAGCTACCATAGTGTATCATTTTAACAGTGTACAAATTAGTCTGTTACTGTCACTGAAGCAGGAGATGATTTTAATAATTATACATGAAGTAAATGCAGTGAAAACAAAGTAAAAAGTACATTAAAAAGCTATGAAATGTTTAAAAGGATTTTAATTTTATTGCATTTTACCCTGGTGCCCTTATTCATTTACAACAAAAATAAATGTCAGCTATTCCACCTACACTTGAAGGAGGCCTTGACATTCATGCAGAATTGTTACAATTGGAACAGTCCAGTAGACGTCCTGTACAGATGATACAGGCACCATTCAAACACAAGACACAAAATGAAGAAAACCCAGACTCCCCCATATCAGAAAGTCTGAGCATAGCTTGACCTGGACATACATGCAGAATGCCACGATTTGCACCAAGAGCGTGCATATGAGATGAGCTATCTCTGTGAGTGTGTTCACTTTCTAATGAGAGAAACTGAAACTCATTAGTGTTCACTTGCTAATGAGAGGACTCTCTCCAATTTTAATCGAGAGTGTGTGCATTGTGGTTTATTTCAGACCTGAAGGCGTCTTCTTCTGGAAAGAAGAGATCCTGCACACTGAGTTCGTTGGAGGACACAGTTGCCAGGATGCAGGTAGGAGTATCTCTGCTCTGCTGGCACACAGCCTGTGTTTTACTGTCCTGGTTCTTTTGCACAAAGCACCCTGTCAAATGTAAAGCACTTTATGTAATCCAGCTTGTAAAACAGGTTTTGTAAAATGTTTTTTTTGGAAAGTAAACTTTTGGTGTTTGATTTCACATCACTTTGTTCTGAACTATGAATTTCTGTTTGTATAACTTTTGTGATGCCACCAAGGGCACTGCACTGCACTGCACTGAATGGGAGGTACTTTAAGAAGACTTCACTGAGACTTTTAATCTCGTTAAGATGGTGAAACTGAAGTACTGCAATGATGATAGAAGTGGAACAAAACAGAGGAGCACTTGTACCCACAGGCCATATAAATCAAACCCAGAGATGACAGCTGACTGGATATGGTGAGTACATGATTTCCCATTTGGAAAAGGACATAGGGAACGTGTTGGAAGACAACAGGAAAACAAAGACTTTGTATTAAACTAAACCATAGCAAAACAATGGAAGGGCAGGGGGGAAAGAGAGAAGTAGAAAAAAGAAAAGGGTAAAGAAATAGTCAAGAACAGATAGTATAAGATAAAAGAAGTAAAAAACAGACAGATCTACAATCCTTTAACTCACCAGATCGAGGACTCCTGTCTGTTTCTTTATGACCTCGCTACCTGCCATGGGAGTTTGGGCAGGCGTTTGCAACTCTTCTGTATATTTCTGCTGATGCCGATTACAAAACTGCCTCAGAAATTCATTTGGGAGATTTCAATGGCTGTTTGCTTAAGTCAGTTCTCCCTAATGATGATCAGTCTGTAAAAGGCTACACAAGAGGTTCTAGAACGTTAGATCCCTGTTATGGTAACATTAAGAATGCCTGTAAAGTTCATATCGAACCACCAACATCTGATCTAATCCAAAAAGAAAGAGCAGGAATTCAAAGCTGTGACAGATTGAGAGGGGAAAGTGATTCAGAGGAAGATATAGGAAGAATTGAAACAGGCTGAAAGAGATGATAAATCCAAGGTGGAGAAACTAATGAATAGAAATGTACAGGAGGCCACTATTCCAACTGTTCGATTATCAACTTTGTGGATGATTGGACATTTGAATGATGATGAATAGAATAACAGACAAGAGATAAATCCTTGGTATAATTGGTGTCGGATAATTCAGTGTTTTTAAAACTATAAACAAAGGAAATGATGATTGATTTCAGAAAGAAATGTTCTATTCTTTTAAACTTTTTAACGGTGAAAGAGTAAACGAATATAAGTGCCTTGGCACTAATATTGAGTGTAAATTCACTTGGACCATCGATACAGACGCAAGGTATTTGAAGGTACACCAAAGGTTGTGTTTTTTAAGGAAGTTAATGTTGAGTTTTAATGTCAAAAACACAATGTTGACACTTTTTTTTATTAGTTTTGTTCAGAGCATGCTACCCTTTTGTATTCAGAGGTGGGGAGGTGTCTTGTCCTTGCAGAACAAAAACAAGTTGAATAAAGTGATCAGGACTGATGGCAAGATTACCAAGACATCCTTGGACTCAATAACATGTCTGATAGAACAACATATTATTAAATCTTCAATGACCCTCCTCATCCACTCTGGGGAGAGGTACCAGATCCTCTGAATAAAGCCTAAGAGAGCATTTACGCCTAGAGGCATTCAGTTGTTGAACAACAAAAAGATTTTTTGGTGGTAGGGATCTTATTACTGTTATTGTTGTTTTAGACTTTACTAACTAATTGTCTGTTTTTAGTCTCACAGTACTGGATTGAGTTTTGACAGAGCAATGTTGTTAAATGTTGTTTTGTGTCATGGTATTGAACTTTTATTACTGTGTTGTATTATTGTCATATATTTTATGTTTATGAGCTCTTGCTGTGCAAGACATATTCCCTTACAGGCAATAAAGCTTAATTCATTCATTCAAATCTGAAATGAATATGAAAAAAAAGTATTAAAGTTAAAATGGACTTAAGAAGCACACATTAACTTTTCAATTCAAGGAAGTTTTTTTTTATTTGATACCTGATTGGATCTAGTTTATTGAGGGAGAAAATGGGAAGATTTATCTTACTTTGAGAAGAAATATTTTTTTTCGTACAAGTACATTTGTTTTCAAGAGCAGTTTCTCTTTTTGTTTTATTTTATCAGGGTAGACCTGTATTTTTAACTGTTATTTGCCTAAGGTGTGTTCTGGTCTGGGGTTCCATCTACTGATCGACCCAACAGATGACTGTGACCCCCGCGGCATCACACTTTCATTTAGTTTACATGGAATACCGATTACCTAAGAGCAAGGTGTTTTCAACTAAAGAGTTTTATCTGGGACTCAGTATTGCTAACAGGTAATTGTACATGCTCCTGGACTTACTATTATACTAAGCATGTCAAGTCCAGCCTGGCCTGATGTAGCTATAGATGAGATAAAAACAATATGATTTTAGGGCCACTTTGTCCTAGCAGGAACCCATCACTGACACTTGTACTGTTATTTTAGATAGCTTTAATTGGGTTAGGTTTGTTTAGCAATTTGTTTTAGCAGTTATATGAGGATTTACATAGTGCTATATAACAAATATAAAATAGTGACATCTTTTTTCCTCTGATTGACTCAGGAGCCAAGCTGCAAGCAGGACTAGACCCTGAGCTGAGCCTGCCAGGACTGGAGCTGCTCATCCAGATCCTTATTAGTGCCAGACCTAGTCTGGACAAGAGCAATATTCACTTAGAGGGGGCTGTGATATTAAGTAAATGCAAGCATGCATAAAGGGGTGCTTTTACCCATGGTAATTGTGTAAGTTTATTGGGTTAGTTAGCAGTTACTTATCCACTGCGTGCATGTCTTTGTGTCCATAAAAGCAACAGCTGGAGTTTTATAGTCCAGGAAAGAAGCTCATGCAGCAACTATTGTGGATGAAGATGAAGCACCCTAAATTCAAGACCGACACTCTGAGTAGCCTACAGGAGTACATGAAGGCTTATTAAAGAAACATGAGGATGATCTTACAGGTATATGGAGGCTTGCTCTTACTGCATGAAGTGACCCCGCCAACATCCCCAACAAATTGGGGTAAGAAACAATCCGAGGAAACTAGTTTATTGCAAACAATTTAACAAGAAAAGGTTCAGGCGTAAACTCGCCGGCCGTCACTATCCAAAAGCTCCGGCGGCTCGCCGTCTGGAGCCCCGGGAGAGGAAACGCTTCAGTCGGGAAAGCCGGCCGGAGAGACGGTGGGCACCTGGGACCGCGAGGTGAGTCCGGCTGCTGCTTGAGCAGGGGAGAAAAAGCGTTTCCAATACATCTAGTCGCATGTTCTGGCCTCTCGCCTTAGCCTCTACAAAAGTAGCACCACTTTTGGAAGGCAAACAGAAGTTTATTCGCAAAGATGTGTTAAGCGGTCAGCAGTGGGTAAAACACGGCTTTGCTCAGTTTCCCCGTGGGAATGTTTCCACGAACTCAGATTAAGTGAACGCAGCTGCGAACGCGCTCTTAATATAATTTTGCTTTACAAACAAAAGCACAGAGTTAATTAAACCCAAAAGCAAGAGGCTCTGCAAGCAGAGTGCAGACCGGTTGGATTCTCACCTTCGAACTGACCGCTCATCTGTCCAGTTTCACGCCACACGGGAGCTCTGCGCTTCGGCGTCCAGGCTGTTGTAGAGGACAGGAAGGCCGGGGAGCTGGAGAGGAGAAACTAGGGAATAAGACACCTGCTGAAACACCACTAACAGACCTGAGCAAGCATTAACAGAGGTAGCAACATCAAATAGCAACTAAAACGAAACGTTCCATTTCAACCCCTTTTAAAAGTATGAAAGTTGTGGTTTAGTTTCGATTCAAGCCTTCTGATGAAGTTAAAGTCTCTTCTAAGATCCAGTTAGTGACCGCTTTCTTTATCACTCTTAAGCTCTAATGCCTTCGTTTTAAACTGTTCCCATCCAAATAAGAAGAACTTTATTCAACATTCTCCTACCCAACTTAAACGAAACGTTGCGTATTCGTTTCCTGTAGGTGCAAAGCCGCTATTTAAAGGCAAAGATGCAATAAGTCTGCCAGAACGATTTTTCAAGGAGACCAACTGATACAAGATTAATCACACCTGGCTTCGGACTTTTAATTACTTAGAAATGTGTAAAACATGGACTGGATCCTGGAGTTGGCCGGCTCCGCTTTGAAAACAGTCGGTCAGGCACAAGTAATTTGGAGGACAATTCCACTTCATACTTCTAACCGAGCCTCTGATTAAATATCCTTATTGAACCTTTAATTTAATATTTACGATTTGCTTCAGTTCAATTCAACGTACTATATTCATCCCTAGGGGTACAGAACATCAGTTGTAAAATATTAGATATTAGCGTCAATCTTGCCCCAGAAAGTGTTTCAGAATTCCTATATTTTAAGTTTGGATCAAGTAATAAGAATTATACTGTTAGTGTTTGATGGGCAATCTCACCTGTGATTACTGTACTGTACATCACTCACGAACAGTGGACCCCAAGACGTTTCACTGTATTACCTATGTGTGCAGTCTATAAAACCGTATTGAATTTTGATAACTTTTTAAAGTAATCAAAATGAATTTGCACCTCTCTCGTAGAGATGACATGAGGTAATACAAAACTCCTGAATACCTGTGGCACACTGCTTCCACTAGTAAGTTGACTAGTATGGACTACAGTAACTTTCACATTTTATAGCATATTAAATAGTAGCATCTCTAATATAATTAGGAGCGATGTGATGCCCCATTGATTGAGAAACTTGTAGTTAACATCCTTATCACTGTTCTGTTTTCTATGCATAAACAATTCATATTATATTTACGGGCAGTGCTTTTAATTTTTACATATTTAATTAGAAGGATTATGTTTATATCTGGAACTTGGAAACATATCATGTCGTGACACCTGCTAGTATAAAGGAACTAAAGGGATACTCTGCCCAGACACCAGCTGGGGTATAAAACATTTAGAGTAATTTTAATCGTTCGTGTATTTTTTAAGTTGTCTTTAGAATCATCTCAGACATTTTGTCTAAAAGTGACATGACATAAAGTCTGAATAAGAGATGTACATGACCAATATTCTGCATGGCCGGCCTGGTGGCTCCGCGGGCTAAACCATCGGACACTTCTAAAGTTTAGAGAGCAGATCGACTCCCGGAGAGCCGTGTGAGTTGAAGTCGAGCCCCGAGCCTTCCCGTCAGTTTGAGATCTAAACCCCGGGTATAGCTCTCATGCTGTCGGGGTGAGTTTGTAGAAGGGGCTGTTCTCTACCACGCCGGCCGTTTTGGGGGGCTCCATTTTCGGGGCCCTCCAAAACAGGGCAAATGGGGGGTTTAAGTCCTTTATAAATGCGTAGTTCGGAATTCAATTCTAAAAAGCAGCCCCTTTTACCACTGAGACACCTGCAGGA